GGAATTCTAGTCCGTGTCAGCAGGTTGTGGCTTGGGGAGCAAGAAGCACCACCAAATGGCTGGGGCAGACAGGTGGGAAGCTTTAGCCATCCGACACAAATCGTGCGACGTGGTCTATAACAGGCCAGAGTTTACAGGCAGGCTGCGGTGGCGGTTCTGGTCCAAGACTGGGACAAAAGGAGAGCCCGGAAGGTCATCGACAGTTAACAACAGATTTACTTAGCCACAGGAAGGGAAGAGCATTCAGAGCAGGGGAAAATTATTCTTCAAGGTTACAGCTTTGGGCACAGGTCTCCTCTGTGGGTGTAGTCAGAATCCTGGGGGAAGACTAATAGCTCCAAGTGTCCTGGACGGTTTTTGCACAAAGGTGACTTCAAAGTTCTATCAACAGCCAAAGCCTTAGTCCTCTGAGAGAACTGAATTGAGGGCGGTGTCAATAACTTGGAAGGAAGAGCTGGCCTAATCTGCCTGGGACAGTCTTCGGATACTGTTCTCACCACGTGCCCACATCACTCTTGTACAATGTTTTTATTGTTTCTGTGGTTTGGTCTTTGACCTGCTCAATACTTGTCATTAAGTTCCATTTAAGTCTATACCCTTTGTTCATATTTTAACTTGTCAGTTATAATTTTTAATTGTGTCATGATCTGAGACAAACATGGATAGAGAGACAGTCTTAGAGTTAAGACCTGGATTCAAGTCCTACATCTGACACACTAGCTGAGTGACTCTGAGCAAATGTTAAATTCTGCCTCAAGCCACTACAAACTACAGCTGAGTTCCCAATCTGCTTTAGTGGAGGGAGTTTACACACTAAGGAATTCTCTGAGGAAATCACAAGTCCAAATAAGAAAGATCTAAAAAGTATTTAACATTTCTACTTTTGATTGAGTTCTTTATGCATTAGAACATGAACAATTTTTTGCCTTATCAGAAGTGATGATTGCAACTCCCGCTGTTTACAATTCATTTGAGGCAAACCAGATTTAAGCATTATTTGTATATATAAATCTCTGTTTTAGTTGTTATTTTTAAGCAATATAGTGTTGTCTTCTTATGTATCCTGCAACTTGCTTCATTTTTCAGGTTGAATTCAGACCATTACCATTCACAGTTTTAACGGTGGTTTTCCACCCATAAAATCCTGTTGCATTATTGTTGGGAAAAATCAACACAACACTAACACACAGCCTACAATGACAGTGATAATTCAATCTTAACCTCGTGAACGAGCACAAAGATACTCACCTTCATTACACAGAGTATGAGGATTCAACTTTTAACTGTTATCTTTTAAAAATCCATGCTTTTTGGTGTAGGGGACAGAAGACCAGCCTTGGAGGACTTGGCTTCCACTCTTGCCTCTGATACATACTGGTTGTGCAAACATGAGCAAGTCAGCTATGCATTCAGCATCCCAAGCAACTCTCTAAGATTACTATTACAAAAGAACTACCACTGCATGAGCAAGAGTTTCAACAGGCATCTCCTACACCCATACAGCAAAAAGCACTCTGCTGAAAGGTGACAGGGGAACCTGAGATTTGTTCCTCCTTAACCAAGGTTACTGGAGGTCAGGGAATAATGTAGATGAACCCTAGATTTATCTAAGTATGTGCCTGGTCCACTTAGCTCCTGCTAGCAGCAGTGAGGAATAAGCTTGCAACATAAACCATACATAAAATTTCTTCCTTTAAAATACAGCACTTCACATTCAGTATTCTCTACCATTCTACCATTCTTTCGTCCACATGCACGGCTCCTCCCTCACCCCTTCCAAAGGTAACTCAATGATGCAGGATACCCTGCTTCCACCATTTCTCATTATTAGAATAGCTCTGGCACACACCTGCATATTCTGGGATTTGCCCCAGTCTACTTTTAACAATACAACTTCTGCTATTCTAGTCAGGAGTACCATACTTGTGAATAGTTTCCTCAGTTCAGGCACTGATCATCCTAACTGCTCCCTACTTTTGTGACCAGTTGGACTCCCGGGGAAAAGAACCCTGCCTGTTGATAACCATTGAGTCTGGTCTGAAGTTTCACTTCAAGGACTACCAGTCCATTATCTGTATTTTCTGAGATAAAATACTTCTGACAGAAATTTTAGAATGGCAAAACTTGGAGAAAACAACAAAATACACCCACTTTCCTCCCCTTGGTAGAGAGGGGGAGGGGTTGCAGGTGAAGAACGTTGAACACACTCTCAGAAGCGTTCATTTTTGCTCGTCCTTTGTTATGAGGGTTCGATGTGTGGTGTGTGTAGAGAAATTAGTGCAAAAAGGACATCACTAAAACAAACTCTGTGTGTGCATGGCTGAGGTTGGGAAGGTTTGGGTTATGACTCTATGAGATCACTCAGCTGCTGTCCAAGCCCCTTTCCTGATTTCTTCCTCAATCCTGGCCCCTTAGACAAGTATATACCTTGGTTACCTTAACTATGGGAGAGTCTCAACAGAAAGTATGGCATAAGAGAGCCAGATGCCGGAACTTGGGAAACTTTTACCTCAAGGGAATGGGGAACTGAATGAATGAAACAGCATTTATTAAATGCCAAGTGCCATACTATGCACTGGGAAGATAACTCAGAAAACAAGAGACACTGCCCTCAACAAGCTTACATTCCAGTGGGCATACTGAGAAAGCACATATAGTGGGGCAGTGGCCACAAAGGGGCACCTTGGTTACAGCAGAGCTCAATGGTGCCAGAGGGGAGCACACTGGCCCTTGGAGGCCAGAACAATGCCAGAGCAGATTCGATCATGGTTCCAGAACTGGTAGAGAGGATTCATGTTGGGGGCAGGAAGGAGGAGTCTGGAAAGAAAGGAGGGAAGCAGAGGAAAAGAAAGGGAGAAAATGAGAAACAGATCTACTTCTCCACTCAGCTCAGAAGATGGAAGCAGCATCTCCACGTGCCCATTGACCTTGCAAGTAAACAAGGAAGAGGGGAAGTCACTGAGTTCTTGCTCCCTCAGCAGACAGCAGGGAGTAGACATGAAATAAGGCCAAAGAGAAAAACTACAGCAGCCCTACCTATTGCTTTTAGTCAAACTAGGTCACACACTTCTAGCCACCTGCTCTAATGCTAAGGCCCAAAGCTGTAACTCAATGCCACACCTCCCTCTCTTCATTTGCAACCTCCTGCTGGTAGCTCTGCCAGGAGGTAACACAAGTGAAAGCACAGCCTGACACAGAAGTCAGCCTTTATCAGTCCAGTCCCCGGGATCTCTCGGGGACACCCAGCCACACACATCCCAACATTCCTATGCCGGCAGGAGACAAGTGGGAGAGGGGTGAACTATTCTACTGCTTCCTCCCATTCAAACAGCTAGAAATAATCAATTGTTAACCAAGGAAGGCAGAGCTAGGACATCCTGCAATGAGACAAAAACATGTCTATTAGCAGCTGACAAGGAGCCAGTGGAAAGACTGAAGATGCTTCAGAGGGAATTATTTCTAGAATAAGGTCTAGAACATGAGGGAGAAATTTAAGCAAGGGCATAGGCAAAGAAGCCTTACCAAAGAGAAGGGGCTGTGTGGTACCATGGGCTGTCAGAACACCTGGAGTTGAAACCTCTTACCACTTATTATGTGACCTTGAAAAAGTCATATAACCTTCCGGGCCCGTGTCCTCAATCTTATAAAAAGAGAGGGCTGAATCATGTGATTCCTGTGATCCCTTCCTACCTATATTTAGGAATCTAAAACATCTTTCTATGTGATAAAAAGGGGGAAAAAAAACAGACAGTGATTCTGAATTTATAGAGAAATTGAGAGAGAATTTGTGGGATTTACCAAAATTTTTAAGAAAATAGCTTGCCACCTGAAATAAACATGGGAATGGAGAAGAGAAGTGCTTGAGGACTTGAGCAGACAAAACCACTATAGAACAACCACTATGGAAAATTTGAGATCTCTCTCTGAGGTTTCCTTTTCCTTAGCGCTCTACTAATTTTAGCTAAGTGTGTGCAATGCTTAAAATCTGACATCCATGATCTTCAGAAGATTTTACATTATTAAGGCTTCTCTCCAGTATTACATGATGTCAAATTCCTACATTCCTTATACATTCAAAAGATTTCTAGTGTAAACAAAAAAACTATACTCCTAAGAGAAGGCTTTCCCCATCCCGTTCATTATTCATCAAACTCTCAAGTGTGAACTTTCTGGTGTTTAGTAAGATGTGACCTCTGGCTAAAAGACTTTTCACATTTATTACATTCATAAGGCTTCTCTCCATTGTGAACCCTCTGATGTCTAGTAAGGTGAGTCCTCCGAATGAAGGATTTCCCGCATTCATTACATTCATAAGGTTTTTCTCCTGTGTGAACTCTCTGATGCACAGTAAGAGCTGTGTTCAAGCAGAAAGCCTTCCCACATTCATTACATTCATAAGGTTTCTCACCAGTGTGAACTCTCTGGTGTAGGTGAAGACCTGAGCTCTGGCAAAAAGCCTTCCCACATTGACTACACTGATAAGGTTTCTCTCCGGTGTGAATTCTCCGGTGTAGATTGAGAGCTGAGCTCTGACAAAAAGCCTTCCCACATTCACCACACTGATAAGGTTTCTCTCCAGTGTGAACTCTCTGGTGCACACTAAGATGTGTCTTTCGGAGGAAAGACTTGCCACATTCTACACATACATAAGGTTTTTCTCCAGAATGAATCCGCTGGTGTCGGTTAAGTTCTTTTTTCTCGAAGAAGGCTTTCCTACATTCTGTGCATTCATAAGGTTTCTCTCCAGTGTGAATTCTCTGGTGTCTAACAAGTTCCTTTATCTGAAAGAAGGCCCTCCTACATTGTGTGCATTGATGAGGTCTGTCTCCCTTGTGGATTCGCTGATGTTGGGTAAGGTGTGTGTTCCTGTTAAAGGCCTTCCCACATTCTTTACACAGGTAAGGCTTCTCTCCAGTGTGAACGCGTTGATGCTGAGTAAGGTCTGTCCTCCGGTAGAAAGCCTTCCCACACTCATTACATTCATAAGGTTTCTCTCCAGTGTGAATCCTTTGATGTCGAGTGAGTCCTTTTTTCTGAAAGAAGGCCTTCCCACATTCATTACACTGAAAAGGTTTCTCTCCAGTGTGAACTCTCAGGTGTCGAGTAAGATATGTTCTCCAAGTAAAAGACTTCCCACATTCCTTACATTCATAAGGCTTCTCTCCAGAATGAACTCTCTGATGCCCAATTAGAACTGTACTATGTCGAAACGTCTTGCCACACTGATTACATGTATAAGGTTTATCTCCAGTATGAACATTCTGATGTCGAGTAAGGTCTCTCTTCTGAAAGAAAGCCTTCCCACATTCATTACACTCATAAGGTTTCTCTCCTGTATGAATCTTTTGATGTCGAGTAAGTTCTTTGGTCTGGCAGAAAGCCTTACCACATTCATTACACTGATAAGGTTTCTCTGTAATATGAATGCTCTGATGGCGTGTAAGATTTGTCCTCCGGCTAAAGAATTTCCCACATTCACTACATCCATAAGGTTTCTCTCCAGTATGAATTCTTCGATGCAGATTAAGAGCTGTACTCAGGCGGAAGGTTTTCCCACAGTCATTACATTCATAAGGTTTCTCTCCAGTATGAATTCTCCTGTGCTGAGTTAGATGCGTCTTCTGGCTGAAGGCCTTGCCACATTCACTACATCCGTGAGATTTTTCCTCACTGCTCTGTTTCCTCTCTAACTGGGAACCACATTCCCAGGTTTGTCTCAACTCGGAGGCACAAGTACCATCCCTTACGAGGTTTTCCTGGAATAACTCATCCAAAGAAATGTCCAGCTTTGGGACTGACTGTTTGATTTCAGGCCTTCTCTCCCAGCCTGAAAGAGAGAAAAGTGTAAATATTCCATTTCTTCCTGCATTACACTTGGTCCTATCTTCTACGTCCTCCATCAGTAAAGACCACCAAACAATAAAATACACAATATATGATGCAGCATTATTTTTGTGTATCATGAAAAGCTTTTACACTGATGCTTAAACCAACACTCACAGGAAAGTCAAAGACAGAAAGGACATTTCATCATTTCTCAAAATAAGCACACCAGCATTGTTCTGACGGAAGACAATCAGTAGGTTCTACCGGGGAATGGCTGAAGTACATTCCTATAAAAGGATCTGACTTCATGTAAAAGATGACAAACATGAAGAATTCAGAGAAGTATGTGAACCGTTTGAGCAGGTCTGCACAACTTACAGCCCTCAGGCCGCTTGCAGCACACCAAAAGATGCCACGCACCCTGAAAAATGTAGAAGAAAACATCCCTTGTCTGCAGAGGAAATCCTGTAAGTGCCCCAAGGGCCATAAGCACAAGCTGTGCAGGCCTGTGTTAGAAGGAGTAAGGAGAACAAAACACACAGTAACTACAAAAATGCAACCTAATGTGCAATTTGAATGGCCAACGACAGCCCCAGAGAAGAGCTGAGCACATGCACCTCCCTCCCTGTACTGAAGAGGTGGGAGATTCCAGGTGTGGAATAGTATATACATATATGATACCAAAGGGTAAGAATGTTAGTTGTGAACTGCTCTTTTTCCTTTTTGTTTTCATCTTATAAGGGAAAGCTTGTTTGGTAGAGAAGTGGGAAGAGGTTTATTCAGAAACAAATATGAAGTAAAAATAAAATGGATCAATAAAAATAAGACGATTGTTTTCCTTGAAGGATGTAATGGAGAGGAGGTCTTTTTTTAGTTAGAAAACTCATAAACATACATTTATTCAGGAAATACAATTATTAAAGAGTTGGCTACTTGTCAGACATGTTGTGGTGAGGTCTCCTCTCCCACATGCATTAGAATAGATGGCTGCTGAAGTCCCTGCCAACTCTGAAATTCTGTGAGTAGCAGAGCAAGCAGAAGAGGGAGACTAATGCTTGTCAAAAGGGCTCGCTACTACTGTGGGGGAGACCCAGAGCAAAGACCAAGCTGAGGAGGGATTTTCTATAAACAGTGAAACACTCTAGATGCTCATTTTTTCACATGTGCTCATGTCATCAAGTCCCAGAATACTAGAGAGACTCCTGGATAAGATCCTTAATCATTTAAGAGTTTGGCCTACCTACCCATGCAGGGCAGACCAGGTGGATGAAGAACGCCTATCATCCACACCCTAACACGCAGTTAGATGGACGAGCTTCAGATGTTATCCAACAATACAGCTTTAAAGCTTAAAACTACAGTAAGTCTTTTGGGACCTTACATATTTATTCATATCTTGGAGGGATGGACACAGCAAAAGGATATTAAGTTGGGCCAATAACTGAAAAGGAGAAAAGGCTGAAAAGACTTTGGGAAACGAAAAATTCTCTTAATGTCCTCAAACTTCTCCCTGAAACAAAGGTTCATATCTTAGATTCAAATATTCTCACAGTGTTGTTGATGGCACATACAAGAAGAATAATTTCACATGTAAAATATGTAAAGTCAATATCTCAAAGACCTATTATTTCATTAAGTGTGGAAACTACTTTCCTCCACCAATACTGGCTGCAACCCATCTATAATTTAAGAATATTGGTTGCCTAAGGCTGAGAAAGAAAAATTGATAAGGCCCACAGTCACATAGTTAGTAACTGTCAGGGGTCAGATATATGGTATTATTAAATGCATAAGGAAATATTAAAAATTTACAAGAACTGCCAGTCTACAATGGATAAATGGTCAAAGAATATGAACAGAAAATTTCAAAAGGGGAAAGACAAACTTAAAAGTCAACTGAAAAACTGCTCGACTTTACTTTTAATCAGAGGCACGAATTAGAACAACTCTGAGGATCCTTATGCCCAATATATTGGCAGAGAAAATTAGAAGCAACAAAACTCAATGCCAGGGTTGTAGAAACTGGTACACTCATTCATTTATGGTAGAATTTAAAACTTGTAGAAATTGTAAGGTGAGTACTCTGGCAATATGCAGTGAAAGTGACAAAATAATAAGTGTTCGGTATATAACTTGTTTTTTTGAGCTAGCTACATAAAGATTCTCATGACTGCAGGGATGGAGGAGATGCAGCATCAGGAATTTCCTATCAAATGATATCACTGAACTGGAACAAAACCAACACAAAGTGTTGGGAACTGAAAGAAATGTCCAAGTAGGGAATGGTTAAGTAATGTCGGGCAAATTGTTACCATAAATGCTAGTCCACACTCCTTAAGCTGACTGGTTGGAGAACACAAAGAGATGTGGACGAGCCTTTATGAAATAATGCAAAGCAAGAGAGATGCAACAGGGACTCCTGGTAGTACAAACGCACAATGGATACACAACAGGAAAACAGCGAGAAGGAACGGGGCTCTAGGAAGGCTCTCCGGCCGGAGGTCAGCTCTTCCCCACATTCCTGGGGAGGGAATCACGGGCAATTTCCTGGATCCACATTTTAAACGTGCTTCCTGTTAACAACCGGTCGTGATGTTGTACGTTATGGTCACTCACTCACTTACCTGGACAGGTGCTTCTTAAGACATCTCCCTCTGGCATCCACAGTTTCCCTCCTCGTTCTAACTGATCTATCACATCTGGTTTGGAAATGACGAGTCCTATTTATTGGAAACAGAAAAGTGCCGGGTTCAGATAACTATCTCAGAATTCAATCCAGCCCAACAAACATTTATTAAGCACCTCCTATGTCCTTTCTCTCTCTCTTGGGAAAAGTGAGCATGCCAGGAAGGCCCACAGGGTACGACAAAGGATTGCTGGAAGATGCTCCCTTCCTGTTACCTGGAAGCATGGGGAAGGAGGTCACAGACCAGATTTGCATCATGCTAACAGAACACACATCGTTCATGTCTTCAGAGAACTCCCCGGGGGAGAAACTTTGACCTGAGGGAACAGAGTAAAGGGAGGTACAACCTCAAGGGTCATACAACCAACCACTTGATGGCTGTATAAAACAAAGGCCTCTTCCCTGGCAACAGGCGAAAACCCTGGTGTTTGGCCAAAAGGATTAATAACTGTTAGGCAAGATGTGAAGTAAAGGACACTCCAGAAAGCCCAGAACATGTACTAAGGAAGAAAGCAAAGCCCTTCCAACAGGCAGATTCGGAGGCAGAGGGGACACCGCGCTTACCCAGGCAGACCAGGTTCCTGTAGTTCTCCAGCATCACGTCCCTGTACAGCTCCTTCTGGGCAGGGCGCAGGTGTCCCCACTCCTCCGGGGTGAAGACCACAGCCACATCTCTGAACGTTAACAATTCCTGAAACATTGGACACATTTGTGGGTCCTCAAGGACTATCCTAGGGAAGAAAGATGTGGTTGTCCAGGAACTGATAGGAGAGGTTCTCAATGTGCAAACTTCAATGTGTTCCAAGTCAAATACTTACTGAGCACCTACGATGTACCTAAGTTTGAACTAGACTGTCAATCACGCGTCATTTATTCACTTGCTCATTCAGTAAGCATTCTGAATGCTGGTCTGGCCTGAGTGCCAGGCACGGGGCTACACACTGGGGATGTAAAGACAGAAACAAGTCAAAAGCTGTCTGCAAGCAGCCTCATCATCCTGGAGGAGAAGGGGATGCCTGCACCCTAAATACTGACAGAAATGAAAACTCAAAAAACTCAGTAATTTCAGAGGGGAAAGCACGAGTACCTGGCAAATCTGCAGAGGAAGCTACATGCACGTGGAGGAGGGAAAGCCTGAACTGAGTCTTGAAGAAAGAGTGTAAGAGGTGGAGATGATGAGGAAGGGCATTACACTCTGGAATTCTTGCGGGAACATTCTGGTTGGAACACAGACCATCAAAGGAAGCTATGCAGAAGCAGCATCAAAGCTGCTAGTAGAGAGATTGTACTTTGTGGATTACAAAGTCCTTTCTTCACAACAGCCTCACCAAACACGGGCATGGGCGCTCATCATCCCAACGAGCAGCTGAGAGGCCCTCTAGCCTAACCTGACCAAAATCCTCTCCTGGGACTTCTTCAAGATACGGTCCTCCAGTCCCTGGCTGAGCGGGTGCTTGGAGAGGACTGCCAACACCTCCCAAGTGCCCACTGAACTTCTGGAGGGCCCTGTCGGATGTTTATCTTGATTTTAACCAACTGACATCTTTCACCTGCCTCTCCACAGCTTCCTGCCAACGTTCTTAGCCTCTCACTCTGCAGCCCGGGAGAACAAGGTTCATCCTTCCATGTGACAGCCCTTCACATAGGGGACCAGCTGTTCGCCTATCATGCCCTCCACCAAAGGCTTCTCTATCTTTCCTAAAACAGAACACCCTCAAACAAAGGTTCTTAGCCGTGTTTTGTGTCCTGGACCTCTCCTACTTTGAATCATCTACAGTGAAGCCTATGGACCTCTATTTTCAAAATGTTTTAAATACATAAAGAAAAATACATAAGACTACAAAGGAGACCAAGTGTATTGAAACAGTTATCAAAATATATTTTTAGCTGACCTTTTTTTTTTTGGCTAAGCAATGGGGTTAAGTGACTTGCCCAGCTAGTAAGTGTCATGTGTCTGAGGCCAGATTTGAACTCAGGTCCTCCTGCCTCCAAGGCCAGTGCACTATCCACTGCGCCACTTAGCTGCCCCCAAAATATATTTTGAAAAAAATCACAGACCCCAGGTTAAGGACCCCTGCCCTAAAACACAGTTGATCAGAATGAAAAAAGTATCTTAGATGTGACATGACCAAGACAAAGCATAAAAAACACACGACCTTTGCCATTCTAGACACTACGTCTCTTAGTACCAGAATTAGCTTTTATTTGACCATGTCACATCGCTGACTTTTACTAAATCAAAGTCAATCATTCAATGCGCATTTATTAAGCACCTCGTATGAGCCAGGCACTATGCTAACCACTGGGGAAATGAAGAGAAGCAAAATACAATCCATGCCCTTGAAAAGCTCACGATCGATTAGGAGAGAAAACATGAAAACAACTGTGTACAACCAAGGTATAAAGTGTGTCTGTGGAGAGATATACCCATACATGCATATATATGTGTGTATACATATATATGTGCGTGTGTGTGTGTGTGTACACACACACACATATACATGCATAGATGGATCTAGGAAGAATAAATAGGAAATAATTAATAGAGGGAAGGTACTTGAATACGGCCGACTGGGAAAGGGTCTCCAGTAGAAGGTAGGAATTTAGTTGGGACTTAAAGGAAATGAGGGAACCTAGTGGCAGAGTTGAGGGACAGCGTTCCAGGCATGGGGACAGTGAGAGAAAACGCCAGGAACAAAGCGATGGTAGTTGAAATAAACGTTTACTGACTGACTGATGAAATCTTGGCTTAAAAAGGACCCAAGTCCTTTCACACTTGCATGTGCCTCCCAAGATTTAAAACTCCTCCATAACAGAGGCTCCCTTTTCCCTTCGGATCCCTGCCCCGGCACCGAGCCTGGCTCACGGTAGGGGCAGAACACTGGCTACGCATGGACTGACTCGTCCTGTCCAAATCCACGTAAACGATGCCGCGAAGGCCCCGGGGTCCCGTACGCAGTCAATTCCTCCCAGGACACCAGGGAATGACGTTCCAAGGAGGCTCCTCCCACTCACCTGGCGGGCGCTGGCTGTCAGGAGTCCAGAGGCCATTTCTGCCTCCTCAGAGCTCCCAGCAGCCGGGGAGGGGCGACAGCGCTGGGGATGAGAAGGGGACAGAGAGGAACTTCGATGCCCCTCGGTTCTGAGACCCAACCCATCTCTGCGGCTCCCCCCGCATCGAGTCCAGAGGGGACTCTGGGGGGCGTCACTCGGGCTTCGGAGAGAGGGGCTCTGGGGTCCAAGGGGGCCATGGGGAAGGGGCTGGGGGGCCCAGAGAGGAGGGGGGAGATGCAGGGTCCGGGAAGGCGGGGCCCCGGGGCAGGAGCCAAAGGGGAGGTGAGGTCCCAAGGGGGAGGGGCTCCAGGGTCTAGGCGGCAGGAATCAGGAGCTGCTGACGTGAAGGGGACACGGGCTGGGGGCCGTTCCCAGGGCGCTGGAGCTCCCCTCGAGGATCTTACATGCTTCCACACCACGGGCGGCGTCTTCGGGGGCCGCCCCCTTTGGGGTAACCCTCTCTGGGGCTCCCACAGCAAGATCCGAAGCAAGTGCACAGCTCAAGAGTGGCAACTTCCGGTTCCGGTAAAAAGCGCGCGAAGGGAATCACGTGGGACGCGAAGTCCTGCCCCGCAAGGCCTTTTGGGAAGCGTAGTTCGGGCTCCAGGAGTGACTCTTACGCATGCTCCGCAGCCACCCGCCTCGGCCCAGGCGACAAATCCGCTTCAACAAAATAAGCCGATCACGTCAGGGGCAGAGGATCTGGGGAGCGAGAGGGGACTGGGCAGCCTGGACATCCCCCGCATCCTCGCGACTCAGAAAGATGGGGATGCATTGTCCAGAGGGGCTCTCTAGGGCCCTAAGCCAGGATGGGCAGGGGCTCTGTGGAGCATGCGCGGAACCTGCCCCTGGCCTCTGAACAGTTTCACAGCTCTAGCGCCCATTGGCCAGGATGCGGGGGCGGGTCTCAATCTGTGACCCAATCAGAGGTGAGGCTGCTGCCCAGCCCATCTCCCAGCCTTGTCTTCCCTGGTCTTCTGGGTCCTGATCTCCCTCTTCTGAATGCCAGGGTCTTACCCCACCCCCCCCACCCCCATCCCGGGCTCACAGTGACATGTCCGGCAGAGGCAGGGTTTGAACCCAGCCAGTAGTCTTGACTTTTGTCTTCCTGATGTACTGAAGCAACAGTGGGATTGGGCAGCCCCGGGGTGTCTGAGCAGCCTTTTAAGGACCACACTACACTGTTCACCTCCTGGTGTGAGAAAGAGGCTAGAAAAGTTGTCTCTAAACTGTCTGCTTCACCCAACCCTGGCTGCTTACCTCGGCAAGTGAGTCTCCTACCCTGTGGTCGAAACACACACAAAAACATGCAAAGACGATTCCATTCACCATTGGCACATGGAATGTGTGCACACTTACAGATCACACAAAATCCGGCAGACCTGAAAGACAAACAGCTCTTGTTGCAAGAGAACTCGGCAGGTATCACATCCAAAGAGCAGCCCTGAGTGAAACAAGGCCGGCAAATGAAGGCCAGCTTACCGAAGTTGGAGCTGGGTACATGTTTTTCTGGCGGGGCCATGGTGATGGGGAGTGCTGTGAAGCTGGCAAGATTTGCAGTCAAAACTAATCTAGTCAACAAGCTTGTATGCCTCCCAAAAGGAATGAATGACAGGCTCATGATAATGTGATTGCTGCTTGCAGGAAAGCTCCATACCACCATCTTCATGAAGTGCCTATACTCTCACTATGATGAACCCTGATGAGGTTGAAGAAAAATTTTATGGAGACCTGGAGACCCTCCTCATCAATGTGCTTAAAGAGGACATTCTTATGATTCTGGGTGACTTTAATGCTAGAAGAGGCTCAGACTATCAGACGCGGCAGGGAGTCCTTGGAAGGAAGGAGTTGGAAACAAATAGTCACTTACTAATGAAGACGTGCATCTCGTGACCATCTCATCACCAGCACTGTCATCCCTAAATGCGATAAAACTGTGTGGAGGCACCCTTTTGGCTTTTCATAGACTATGTCATTGTAAGGAGAAGAGACAGGATGTGAGATTGAGTAAGGTAATGTGTGGCACAGAGTGCTAGACCAATCATAGACTTATCCTCCCCAAGCTGAACCTCCGCATTCAACAGAAGTGGTGGCTCCACAGAAAGACAACTACCAGAAGACTGAATGTTAGCAGATTAGAATGCTTCTCCAGGTGAGAACACTTTGTTGCCTTCTTGGAGGGAAAACTGAGCCGACACACAGTCGGCAACAGCAGATTAGAAAAGAGTGGGCGGCTTTTGGAGAATTGGTATACAAAAGAAATGTGAGATGCACGAGTTTAGAGGCATCTCTATTCCAAACGTTCATACAGACTATTTGTGCCTGACTTGTGGAAAAGCCTTCTGAGTTCATATTGACCTGGTCAGCTACAGTCAGACAGACCCTGGAAATGTCCCATAGCTCAAGGATATGACGTCTGGGAGGCACCTGCACCCTTGTGGGGGAGAGGCAAAGAAGGATCTCTGGGCAAAGGATCACAAAAAAGGGGAACAGACCCAAGCCCAACTTTGTTCAGATCAAACACTAGGTATATTCCCAGGCCTAAGTGAAATGTACTATCCTGAGGGAGTTAAAATGGCTTCCAGACTAGATCCACTTCCATGACAACCCACCCCCTGATTGATAGGCAGGTCACAGAATCCTTCAGACCGGCATGATCTGTGGCCAGACAAATGATGGGGTTTAATAAATGACTGACATACTTCTAGGGCTGTGTCCCAAAGAGATCATAAAAATGGGAAAGGACGTACATGTACAGAATTATTTATAGCAGCTCTTTCTGTGGTGGCAAAGAATTGGAAATGGAGGGGATGCCCATCAATTGGGGAATGGCTGAACAAGTTGTAGTATATGAATGTAATGGAATACTATTGAGCTATAAGAAATGATGAGCAGACAGACTTCAGAAAAACCTGGAAAGACTTGTATGGACTGATGCTCAGTGAAGTGAGCAGAGCTAGGAGAATGTTGTACACAGTAATGGCCATGTTGTGTGATGACTGACTTTGACAGACAGCCCTTCTCAGCAATGCAAGGATCTAAGACATCTCCAAAAGTCTCAAGATAGAAAATGCTATCCACATCCAGAAAAAGAACTATGGAGTCTGAGTGCAGATCAAAGCATACTTTATACTATTTTTTTCTCCTGTTTTGTTTTGTTTCCTCTTTCCGGTGGTTCCTCCTATTGGTTCTAATTCTTCCTTGCAACATGACTAATGTGAAAATATGTTTAATAGGAATGTATATGTAGAGCCTATATCATACTGTGCGCCATCTTGGGGAGGGCGGAGGAGGAGGGGAGAAAAATTTAAAACTCAAAAGTGTATGGAAGTGATTGTTGAAAACTCAAAATAAATTTATGTAAAAGTAAATAAATAAATACACACAATCTGAGAGTGGTGGTCCATGCCTGTACTCTCTGCTGCCAGGAAGTCTGGGGTTGAAGGA